GGGTTCAAACTCTCTTACCAAAATACCTGTTCATGCATAAATTATGTAATTGGTTGATTGAGAATATTAATGCCCCTCGAGATAATCAACCTATGTATTAGTTTTAATATGGATCACAAATTTTCCGAGTTTGTGGTCCTAAGATTTGGAAAATTTTATTATTTAGAAAATAGCGCCCTAATTTTGTGATTTCCATCAGAATCATAATTTCCATAGAAGAAATTTAGGGACTTCTTATATTTTTAGAATCCTAAACTATAATCATTCCATTCAGAGAGCAGCTCATGATAAAAGTCAAATTGCCTATTAAGCTTGATAATTCCAAAAATATTTTAGTCAAGTTCTAACTCTATATTCTGCATGATGTAGAGAACTCCAATAGATGGTTGTGTTACTAGTGTTTCTAAACATTTCTTTATGAGCTTTTTCCCCTCTTTTTTCAATTCTTCCGTGTTACTTTGGCAATCTCTTAATACTTTGGGATATTGTTGTTTAAATGCATATTCAAGGTAGTATTTTCTTATTATTTGTCTGGTTCATCTAAAAGTATAATAGTAAAGAGTATGAGGTAGTTAGGCTATGTTTTGAATAAATCTGGAGTTATAGATTTTATTTGTAAATTCACACTTATCACATGTAGGACAGAGTCTAAATTATATTAGGACGAAAAAAAAAATGACCTTATATTGAATTCTATATAGACTTGAAACAGTGCATTTCAAATTCCATCAATCATGAAGAAATTTTTAATGCATTTTCCCAATCCCACATGAAATTTCGTAAGTTGATTTAGAGTACTTTCACTGTCTTCTAGTTCAACTAATTATAGAGTTGCAAATGAAATTCATATGTTTTTCGGATTTGTTCCAAATATAGCTTTGGTGTTTGGTTTTAATTTGATATTCACTCACTGACATTACAACATTTCTTGAGACATTTTAAGTAATGACAAGTGCATGGGTAGATGTGATTGGATTTGATGTATGCCTGTGGTTCAGTGTGGGACAAAGGCTCAATTCAGTATTCTGTGTAGTGTTATGCAGCATGGTACGGTTCATGTCCTGGTTTAAAGGTGCTTGCTCCATATTCATCAGAAGATGCAAGGGGTCTGCTAAAAGCTGCTATTAGGGACCCTGATCCTGTTGTCTTCCTTGAAAATGAGCTGCTGTAAGTAGCTCGATGGATTATAATTCTATCAGTTACCTTCTTTTCTGCATGTTCCATATCCTGTGGGCGTTTTTGTTATCTTTATTCATGTCAATTATGACTCCTAGATATGGTGAATCTTTTCCGGTATCGGCTGAAGCACTTGATTCCAGTTTCTGCCTTCCGATAGGCAAAGCAAAGGTACTCAAGCTTTTTTTGCCCGTCAAATTTTCAGTGATTATTCAATTCTATGTTCTTGCTCTGCAGGTAGAACAAGAAGGAAAAGATGTAACTATTACCGCATTCTCAAAGATGGTCACCCATGCTCTCAAGGTCTGTGAGTTTTTATTGAGGCAGTCATTCACAGAATTTGCTGAATGACTAATATCACTTTGATTGATCATCTGATGAGGAAGCCTTAGATATTTCATTCTATTTTTCATTGAGAGCTCCTCAAAAAAATATTTTTAACTGAAAGGTAACATATAATTTATTTTCTTCACATTGCCTTCGCTTGTTAGCAATCACAGAAGTGACAATAGCTACTCAATGGAATGGAATAAGGTTACAATGAAATTCTGAATACATTGTTGTTTGATTTGTAACTAGCTATAACTAATTACTACCTCATATTGTTTTTGATTTGGTTACAGATAAGGTTGGAAAAGACTTGTTATTTATTGTATATAATTAATAAATATATACAATTAATTACCACTACTTTAAATTCATCTTCATCAAATATATAAAACACAAAATTAAAATAAAGCAGTTATTGATACATGTAGCACCACCATAAACCAGTTTGGTGAAATAATGAAGTCAAAACAGAAATGGAAATTTTAAAAAATTAAAAAAAAACTTACCTTCTTCTTCCCAACAAAGTCTAAAAAAAAGTCCAGTCTTGAGTCACCTAACCCGGCAATATGTCACTATAGGGACATTGCCAAGTAGATGTAGGCGTTCCGCATGGAAGTTGTGAAAACTGGATTATAAAAAGGCTTGGCTATGTAATGGTGCATTTCAAAAACATGGTATTGTTCCACCAAGTCATCGACGTCAATAAGACCATTTGAGTTGCAGGGTTATGCCCTTAGCATTGAACTGAAAGCAACACTGACATTGCATTTTAAGAGGAGCTCATGTACACTGGTGGTACGCTTCATCATGTGAAAGAGTTGCAAAGAACAAAGATAGCAAATTTCTTCATCATGAGAACTTGCAGCGTTGTTAATTTGGTGGAATTTTCAGCGCTAGCGTTAACTTCGCTTTTTATGAGGTTGTCAAGAGCTTTGGTCATTAGCTCTAACGGACTTAGATAGTAGCAAAGGAACTTAGAGAGAAAAATAGAGAGAGAAAAGAAAGTGAGTCGATAGAGAAAGAGAGTGTAAAATAACAGAGAAAATTGGAAAAATATTTCTGTTTTCATTCCAATGGGTTAGAGATATATGTATGTATAGAAGAGAGATTTATATATAGAAACATAAATTATTCTATTAATATTAGAAAATCAACTAATAATTATATAAGTATATTCCGTAATATATTTTGTAATATTTTAACACTCTCCTTCAAGTTGAAACATACATATGAATCATGCCCAACTTGTTATGAAGATATTCAATTCGGGTTGTTTTCAAAATGTTTGTAGATATATCACTAGTTCTCTTAAATTTCTCACGAATGAAGTG